CCACTCCCATTCACACGATCCTCACGTCGATCATGACCATCAACATGTTCATTCTGGGCACGAGCATTCGCATTCTCTAAAGGATCTTTCTGTTGGACTGTCAGTTTTGGGTATGTGATACATGATTTACTTGTCAACTGTAACTACATTCAACTTTCTTATAATTTCTGTCGACATGTTTGCAAAGACTGTTTCATTCTCCTTATACCTGTGATAATTTAAAAATTGGATATCCATATGTGCATGTGTGTCAGAGCCTATTTTTTTTGTGATCAATGTCAAAACCTAATTGACTTGGGTGAAAATGGACGTGTCTTGGTGGTACCTTGCACCAAGGCATTCCAAGACTTTGAAGCAGGGTGAAGTAGTTAAGGTGTTCGACAAAAGTTTTGGTCCCTATGCCCTAGTCTCTTATCATTATGCTTCCTTGGTTCGGATTACTATGCAACAGATGTCGAAGAGGAAAACATGGCTAGGGATGCTGGGGAACGAAGGCGAATGATTTTAGAGGTCGAGAATGGCTGTTGTGATGCTTCGAATGTGATATTTCAAGAGGAGAATAATGAAAACAGTGATGACAGTGGAACAAAGCGGGGGCGGGGGCTGTTGTCTCCATTCCCGTACCCGTTTAAAAAAACTCCGTCCCTCCCCGGTCCACCCCTGTTAACGGGTATAACTTTCATTCCCATCCCCATCCGCGGATAAATTTGTAATCCCCGCCCCCGTTTCAACCAATCGCTATTGGTCGGCAGCGCTCACACCAGACGACACCATTGAGAAATCCCAGCGGTCACACCACCACACCAGTCAACGGCGCCTCACCAGTCAATGGCGCCTCACAACCCAAAGCAGCGACGACACTACCATAGCAATGAGGAACATCCACAACGATACCACATCGCCACCACCAAGAACAACACCAAGAGCAACTTAGCAGAGAACCATTGGAAACTTGATTTCACGCTGAAGCTTCACTGGTAGGAATGCACGGAGTCAGTATAGATCCATTCAACACCCAGACTCAGTGAAGACGCAAACCAGAAGAAAACAAGAGAAGAATGGAAGAGAAAAGAAAAGAGAAGAAAGAAAAAAAAGAGAAAAGAAAAATAAAAAGAAAAGATGATTAAGAAGATTAATAGGAGTCTTGCTCTGATACCATGTTAAGATTAGGGAGGAGTTTAACACAATATGAGAAAGACAAAGAGAGGTTTTGGCTTAACCTACCTTTCACTATTGGTCTTGTATTTGTAGTCACTGAACAAAATAAAAATATGAGTATGCCCTTTGTGTGGTATACATATTACAATAAACATAAATCCTAATTACATTATAGTAACTTTCCTAATCGTATTATAGTAACTTTCTCAACATTATAAATAAACAAACTGACAAGCCCTCTGCATGAAAATAAGGTGCTAACTCGGGTTGTTTCATTTGTGGTGACCTCTATTATGCCCAAAATTGCCTCAAGAAGCAGAAACTCGGTGACTTAGTAACCGTGGAAGTTGTTGATCGTGCAAATGAGCCTCTACACAAATCAATCCCTTGTAGCTTGTTAATGCAATTCGTAAAGAGTAGCTTGCGGCCAAGAGGAGACTGATGTTTGTGTTAATTTGAATAAACAACATTTCCATCCAAGAAATAGTTGATACATGCACAACCTATAATTTTGTTTTTGATCGAGAGGTGCAACGTTTTGGTTTGGCTTTGATAAATGATTAGTTAAGTTGTGAAGCTGTTAGAGTTTTGAGAAAGAGAAAAATAAGAGAAAGAGAGAAATTGTGGAATAAGATAGTGTGTTAGGTTACATAACTACACCCTGTTTATTAAACTCTTATGGTTCTTCAGCTAAGTCGCGTAGAGCTTTGACTTGTTACACAAGAAGGGATGGTGCTGTTTTGGTTCCTGATAAATCATTGACAGAAGAGTGAGGGTAAGGTAGAAGACACTTATAGATAAATCATTATAGAACAGAATCACTGATAGGAAATGAAACATTTATACTACTATGAACACATAACTTATAGATCTACATATATATATCAACAACAAATTTCAGTTGTCATACAATTTGGCTCTGATACCAATTTAAAAAGAGGATCGTAATAGAAATACAAACACTTATATTATACAAAGATACTCAAACAAACTTACAATAGAGATAGGAGAGGAAAGCTTTACAATGGAAGAAAGGAATTTGCAAAACAGAGAGAGAGAGAGAAAAGTTGAAAGAAAAGAGCTACCTCAACAAGGGTGAGGGCATCCCTTAAATAGACAAAGATTCGGATATGAAGATCGAGTTCCAGAAATTATAAAACAAAGACATCATGCTTGACATCATGGATGACATAGTTTGGCAAATTGCATTGGTGGGAGATACGTCATGAATGATGTCATCTTCAATTATGGCTGAAAATATCCATTTATTATTTCTTCTTTTTGCCATATGATTAATTTGATTAATGTCCATGAAAATAGACATTTCAAAATTCAAATCTTTCAAATTTTGGAACGCTCCAAGGTGCAATTTCATGTCTTCATTTTCATTGAGATCCATTGGGATCTTGAGAATCTTCTTGATCATCCTCTTTGCATAATTTATGACTAGACGAGTAATGAAGAATAATCTGTCTCGCACTCCTTATTAACTCAAATCTCATATGCTAGATTTCATGCAAAGACTGCTAATAGCATCTTTTCAAGTTCCTGAGGATAATAAACCTCAAGTTCTTCAATTACCTCAATTACCATCCTCCTCTTCGAAAGGAAAATAAATAAATGAAGAAAATGAAGATGATTCTGAGAATCCAATGGATTATGTCGACAATAATGAAGACATGGAAATGCACTTTGGCGCGTTTCATTCTTTAGGAGATCTTGAAGATCTTAATTTGGAAATATCAGACCTAATTGAGATTGATGCACAAGCTAAAACAACAAGAAATAAAGTTAGCCGATATTAGCATTGACATCATCGCCAAAAACGTTAGGCATGGTCAGCAAGCAATAATAATTGCAGACACCTACTTAACTAATGACGTCAAACTCTTATAGAGTATTTTGTAATCCAGTTTGAAAATTGGAATCTGCTTATATTAAGGGATGGTCTTACCCTTGTTGAGACAGAACGAAATTTGCAGTTTTCAGTTTCTTTGAATTTTTTGGTTTTGTAGTTGTAAATCTCTTTGCAGTGTTTTCTTCAATCCTACTACTATTGTAAGTTTTCTTTGTATAATAAATTATGTTCTACTCTATTTCTTCTCTATTAACGATCCTTCAATATTTTGAATTACAGCCATTTTAATGGCAACTTAAATTTATTTTTAATGTATATGTAGATCTATGAGTTATATGTGTTTTTGATGGTAGATCTGTAATTCTATATTTCTAATCAGTGTTTCTATAGAATAATTTATCTATTTGTTTTTTCTATTCAACTTTCATGGTTCTTTACCCAAGTCTCGCTTGAAACTTGAGCTCTTATCTGGAGAAAGACCAATGAATTTTGTTAAATCATTGATAGAAGTGTGAGGGTAAGGTACAATACACTATATATGCTTAGAAAATTCTTAAAGAATGTTGAGTTTGTTAAGAACAGCTCAGAAATTGAATTCTCTAATATAGAGAACATTTTGCAAAATTGTCACCTTCATGAAATCAATCCTAATATGGTTTATATTATTAGATCATTTGACTTTAAATCAAGTCTAGCAATAAAAACAATTGAACAAACAATTCTATTGGAAAATCCAATGGAAACTTTACAATTGTTCAAAAAACCTTCATATAGTGATGTAGACTAGGAAGGGGAAGAATTCGGGAATGAGAAAATCAGAAGAAAGAAAAGGAAACTTAGGAGCAAACAATATCAATATTCAATATTAATCAAAGTCTTCCTAAGCAAATACCACATCCCCCATATATAGGGAATGCAAACTCAAACAAATAAATTGTCAAAATGACAAACAAGTCCCAAAAGGTAAAATGACAAAATAACTCTTTAGTATTTCTTATTTACCGTCTCTTGCTCTTTCTTCATTCCTCTTTGTCTTTCTATTTTCCTAGTTTAGGGAACCCTGTCGAGGTCATATGGTATCTAGGTTTTCTACACTTTCACTTCGGCTGTTTAATAGAGGGTTTAATAGTTGGATGTTGAAGGCCATGATCTTACTTGGTGGGGCTGCTGATGATTGTGCTTTCATGGAATCATGTTTAAAAGAGTAGACTGAGCTTTCGTGGATCTTTTTCAGAATGTATGAAAGACACTATCTTGCAGTTAAGGAAATAACCAATCTGGTTGAGTTTTTGAACATGATGTATGAAATGAAATAACTTGTCATATTTTCTGAAATACCCACCTTGTTGCCAAGGATGTAACAGGGGTCAGGAATATGTTTACATTAAGTTTTTTATGAGGGCACCAATGAAGGACTTTCTGCATTCAAAGGCTAAAACTTGGAACCAAATCATTTATCACTTGGTCAATGGGAATGGATCGATTTCAGCTTTTCGCCGAGCTTGAAGTTGTAGCCTTGGTCTATAATTCATTTGAATGTCATAAGAACTTATATTTGACATATTTGCAAACTGGATTACAACAGCTTGAATTCTTATTTAATATATCTGATGTTGCAGCTGGAATTGTACTTTTCCTTCTTGTTGAGAGGCTTGTAAGGTATGTGGAAGAAATGTCTGGAGGAGTTAATGGATGGAGTCATGGCCATCACCATCACCATCATCACAAGCACAGTAAAAAGTTGAAGAATGACAGTGACGCCCATGAAAATCTGCAGGAACTCTCTCTAAAGGAGAAAAATGGAAGTACATCGGAAATATCAACTCAAGGAGAAGCAGTGGACAGAGTGTCTGATGATGCTCTGAATGGAGAAAAGCAAAGTGAAACTGCTGTTCTTCGGAAGGTAAATGAGGAGTTTGCATTCTACAATTACTTCTACATTTCCTGTCAGGCTTAGACATATAATTTGGTCCTACTGCTGGGCAGGTTCTTATTCAGATGTGAACCTAGAATCAATGCCTGGTAGAATTAGAGGTAGATGTGCCTCGCCGCAAAAATATGCATGAGACACATATCAAAGATCTGTACGAATGCCCTCAGAAAAACAGATTCTTATGCTCTCATTCATTAGTATGCCTATGAGCTAAGTTCTGATTCGGAGAACAGATTATTATGTTGTGCTTACTAGAGTATGCCAATGAGCCGAGATCCTGATTGCACTATGGAAAAGATGGCACACTCGCTTCCTGACAAGTTAACTTCCCTGTCCCAGTAATTTGTTCTTATTTTGTATTCTAACCTTCCATTTGGTTCAAGTATCATAATAATGAATCAGGCCCTGATAAGAGAGAATGTTTGACAGATGGTATCACATCAAGATGCAAACAAATTAGCAAATATTCGTAGTCGTGTAGAAGCGTGGGATTGTTCCAGATGAAACATGCTTCTATAGCGGACAGGGTACTTATAAAATCATACTTTATCTTCTATTAAATGAGAAGATACTTGTAGGACTGCTTTAGTATGGATCCAAGATTTTGAAAAGTTATTCTATAAAGCTTCTTCCCTTTTTCACTGGAAGAATGAAAAGGAGGAACAAAAGCTTCATTGATACTGCCTTCTAGAATAACTACCGCACTGTGTATTTTCATAGTTTTACATACGTTCAGCTATTATGCTTACTACTAAATGTAAAATTTTGGAAACTAATTTGATCAAGAGATGCTGGCATAGCAAGATTCATATACATGCAACATTTGTTATTAACTTTATCTAACATGCTTGCTTCTGCAGAGAAACACTACCAGCAGTGCTAGCGAAGATAGATCCGATTTGGATTCTGCAAATGGCTCCACCAGCAATATTAACTCTGTTTTATTAGTTGAACCCCATCAATCGCCAACTAATCTTGTGTTTGGTTATCTCAACCTCTTCTCTGATGGTGTAGTATGTGTTTCCTCAATTATTCTTGTTTTTCTTTTTGCTAGCAACATTTGTTTTTAAAGTTGGATATTTGGGGTACCTTGGAATTATGTCTTGAACATGTTTTTATAGTCATGTCAATGATATATTTGATACAAAAAAATTGATGTATTTAAATGCAATATCTGTTAACCTGCAGCACAATTTTACTGATGGGATGGCTTTAGGAAGTGCTTTCCTCCTTTATGGATCTGTTGGTGGGTGGTCCAGAACTCTATTTTTACTTGCACATGAGCTTCCTCAAGAGGTGTGATTTCTCTCTTTTATACTTCGATATCATGTAGAGATTGTTTTTGGGGTTAAATATTGATAGAGATTTGGTCCAATATTTTTTTTGTCAAATTAAAACCATTTTTTGACCATAAATTTATTTCGTAGAGAAACAAGGTAAAGATAACACACATGTTTTGCTGAGTTTCCTATCAAAAGATAAATTGAGTAGCAGCAGCTAGCAAAGCATTCTTCACTTCTTCTAACCTCCTCCACCAGATCTCTTGTGGAGGACATTAGACATCTCCTCTCTCTCTTCTTTTTTTGCCCTTCTGTGAGTGCCCAAGACTGATCAACCAGCTTTCAAGATCAATCATCACCAAAATCAGCATTACAAGATCAATCTGTTCCATTCTTGCTATTGTTTGGCAAAATTGAAGATTGATATTTAGCGGAGTAAAATCTTCAATTGCCAAAGATGCTGAAGCCAAGACATAGAAAGAATTGAATATCTTCTATTCTTCTCAAAGAGGCTGAAGACACCGAAGCCAATCTATCAATTGCCTGTGACCGGGTATTTTGGAGTTGTTGGATTTGATTTTTTGAGTATTCTTGGGTAGTTACTGAATTCAAAGACTTGGTATTTTCGGCAGCTTCAAACTGGTTTCGAATTAATGTTACAAGCTGCACCCTTTTTTCAAAAAAGGAAGTCTGCAACTCATACGAATGTGCTACAGACCTTTACGTACTGGAGAGAGAGAGAGAGAGATAAAACGAAGGAGAGAGTTGCTGGCTGTGACTGAGAAAATGTGTTTTTCCCTCTTGTTAAGAGTGCAAGGGTATTTTCGTGATTTAACATTAAAATTTGACTTTGAGCTAAATTTTTTTCATACCCACTTTCTAATTAGGCATGTGTCACAAATTCTGTCCAAATTGATGGAATTTGTGGTTGTGGCACTTTAGTCCAAAACTAAATGGGGGTTGTGTGCTTATTTTTGAACTATAGGGGTGAAGTGCTTGACGGGAAAACCACAAAGGGGGTTCAAAAGAAGTTTGCCCATTATAATAATATCTTCTTGTGCAGATAGGTGATTTTGGAATCTTGGTAAGGTCTGGTTTTAGTGTCTCTAAAGCCCTCTTCTTCAACTTTCTCTCTGCACTGGTAGCTCTAGCAGGAACTGCGCTGGTTAGTAGTGTTTGGCTGGTGAAAGCTTTGAATCTTTTCAATTTTTATCTTCATCAGTTAGAAGTAAACAAAGCAATTTAATGCTGTTGCGATATAGGCTTTGATGTTGGGACAAGATCCAGGACAATCGTCTTTGATTGAGGTAAGACTTGTTCTTCAGGGAATATGTCAGTGTGTTCTTTAGGGTGTGATAATCTGAATAATTTTCATTCTGTTTCTGTTGGTGGCTTGCAGGGATTTACAGCAGGTGGATTTATCTATATAGCTGTTGCTGGAGTGCTGGCGGAAATGAACAATGGCAGCTCTGCCTTGAGAAGTACAGCAATCCAAGTAACCTCTTTGATGCTAGGAATGTCTGTTGCTCTATGTATTTCCCTTGTTGAATGAAATTCTGTTTATAACAATGTCACAAGTCGAGTTACAGGTCAATGTGAGATAAAAAGTTGATTGTCTGTTTCGATCTCCTTGCCAATGCTGTTGTTTTCCTTAATTCAAATGTCTTCTAGACAACTAGCAAAAAATAGAAATAGGGGCACCTGATTACGGCAGTGCCTAATTAGATGATTTAAACGAAGCTCCACAATCACGTAGGTGTATTCCGAATTAAAATCAGCATTATGAAGATGTCAATTCTATATTCTCATGTCCATGGCCCATCAGAAAAGGTATACATGCACAGAGCAGAAGTCCAAAGGGGCCCTCTATAGCTAGCTAGGATTGTTCAGTGAATTGGGCTTTTTTCTTGTGTCCAAGTAAATGGCTTTTGGTTTGGCGGGGTTTGTCAAGTCTTGCACTAAATTCCAAAGATAAGGCCTCATCATGTTAACTTGTAACAAAATTCATGCCTTATAATTAGTAATATATGCTACATAAAGGGTGGCATATAGAGATATTTGGGTTCAATATTCTTTCTTACTCTTCTTTTGGGCTACTTGATCATAGTGAATGCTCTCTCCCAAATTAACAAGTGATTGTTAAAATGGTTTCTCGAATATGAGAGTACTTCCGGAAAATAACTGGGTTGCCTGGTTTAGCTTGGGATTGATCCTAATGGTTTCTTTTAATTTTTGAGACTAAGATTTTGTTGAGAAGCTTCTGATCCCATTTTTCGCTTGCCAAGTTGGACCTATCAATTGCTTATGGTCCTTCCGTATTACATCTGTAGATCGGAGGTTAGCAAACTCCTCATATGTATATCCGGATAGGAGACTACTGTGTGTGTGTGTGCGCGCGTGTATTGCTATTTGTTATCTTCATGGCTGTGAAGAATGAATGTCTTCTGTTTCTTTTTTCTTTTGTTTGTTATTTAAAAGAGTGGTCAGGGGCTTCCAGACGGAGCAACCACCTCAAGACTTTATTTTGAGGTTTTCACTCGTCGTAAAATGCTCGATTTGAAGTTTTCACTCAAGGGTAAGTCGGACATTCAATCCCTATAGTATTATTTGGTTTACAAATTATTATCGCAAACAAGTTTAAACTCATGACCACCGAAAGGAGAAAGTGAATTAGGCTATCACCTCGGTGGTTAATGTCTTCTGTTTCGGCTCATGATGCTACCGGACACTTTTCTCCTCATAAAGCAGGAAAATATGCAGTCAGTTAGATTGACGGTGGATGGGGCATTGTTTGGAAACTAAATATTACCTTTTTTTTTGTCGGTTACATCTAACCTAAGGTGTCCAAAAAAAAACCTAAGCTGTCCAACTATGGTTCTGGTTATTGTCTGACAAAAACGAGATACGTGTAAGATTTTTTATTTTTATTTTTTAATTTATATTATTTTTATAATCAATGGCTAAATTAATCAAACTACAATCAATGATTATGGATTAATTTTGGCACAATATAATTTTTTTTCAAACAAAATTTTGTTTATTTCCCTTTTTATCATTATCAGTGCTAGATTCCCATTGGACACGTTTGGTAGACGTATTATGAGGGGATTAAATATTGAATTGTATTATTTTTTGTTTAATCGGGTCTAATACTTTGTTTGATAAGTAAATCAAGTTGTCATCAATCTAGTAAGCACTGATTGAAGATATTTTTTAGTTCAACATTAATATGATGAAATGATTTTTTAATCAAACAACCAATTAGATTAAATAACTACTATCCAACGTTTATGTTGTGTATTGTCAAACACTAGATAAAATTTATTTTGTATTATTCTAATATTTTATTTAATCTTGTCTTTTGTCTTTCCGTATTGCATTAGACTGAATTACTCTATCTAATCTAACCATTTCTAATACGACAACCAAACGATTCCATCGTGAATGAAGGAAGAATCTACTTTAAATGCTTGTGGTTTCTACATGGATTTAGTTATTTAGAGAGAATCCCATATGGCGATGCAGTTGCTTCATTTTCAACAACTTCAAAGTTGCATAACCCTACATAATAATTCAGCATTGGAGAATCTGTTAAAGCAATTCGAAGTGACTACATAAACCCATTGGCCATGAAATATTGAGGAAGTCTAATTGGAAATTATTAAAAAAAAAAAGCATAAATTATACTTCAACCCTCTAAACCATTGACCCGATTTCACTTTGCCTCTTTAATTATTAAATTTTTCACGTTGTCCTTTTAACTACTTGAATTATTCACATTGCCCCAATCACAAACATTCACTATCTTTTTGGACAAAAATTGCCAATATTTTGGGGCAAAGTGGAAAAATTTACATATTTCAATGGACAAATGAAATAACTTTCCGTTAAATGTATAATAATAGAGGTTAATAATTAGGGCAATGTGAAATTAATCACATAGTTGAGGGTTCAATATGGAAAACATGATAGTTGAAGGGGAAAATGTTGAAAAAGGGCATAGTTGAGGGAGCCAAATTGTAATTTTTCCAAAAAAAAAATAAAAAATGCAACTATGACAGTCTGAACTGCAAGAGCAGCATACAGCACAAAATGATGAACTCTCTCTGAATTTCGGTTTTGAAGCATCATTGTCAAGGTGACATGGTTAATTTAACTCTCAAACAAGTGCACCCATATACGATAATACGAAGGATTATTGACTATAAATTACACAAAATACGCCTGAGCTAAAATTAAGTTTATATAATATACATTAACGGAATTCGAAAATTCTTACATAGTTAAGGAAGAATCCCTGCTACATCTAGAATAAACCAGTTCTTTAGCCCTTATACGATATGTGAATGATCCTCATGACACCATAATGCAAAGAAATGGACTGAACTTGATGAAGAGAATGGGGATCACCTTAGGGATAATTGGTCACGATTCGAAATTGTTGAACTGCTGAAGCATATGGAAGATTGTAATATTCTGGGATGAAAGAGGATAGAAAGGTGGCATTCTCAATAAGGGGGTTACAGTATTGTCCGAGTGGGTAAGTGTGTGATGCCTCTTGCGAACAGCTCGAACTGGAGGCTCTGCAGCCACCACCACCATTCCTTCTTTGTTCATCAATGCTGGTTGTTCTTCTCTCCTCCCCAAGCTCTCTGAATTCCGTCCTTCATCGTGCATTTTATTATCCTTTGGAAGTGCACAATGAGAAAGTCAGAAAGTCAGATGGTTAGATTTCTGTTCTGTCTTAAGTCATCATCGAATATATGTAACGAACGTTAAAAACCATGTTCAATATTGAAGCTACTATAGTCAAGAAAGTTGCATTTGTGATTGTCTGCTAGTAGGTGATGGGTCTCACTAATAGTTTCAATATGCAATAACAAAGATGGGCATGCAAATCTAATATTTTTGGTGCAGAGACATCCGAAAGATTAACAGGTCTAGGATAGTTGAGTGTGCTGTAAAATAATATGAAATCTCATAGGTTCTACCTTATAAACAAAATGAACCACAATGCCGTATCCCATTAAAAATACTTGTCAAAGCACCAAAAGTATCAAATTCTTCCATCACAATGTCCATATGAATAATACAGTTGACTTTGTAATCCCACTATTCACCCCTACAACAACACCAAGCCTATTTCCTATGCAGATTATGGGTGGATAACTGCTGGTTGGGCGGGGAAAGAATGGAATTTTACCAGATTCTGCTTGGTTCGATTCCCTGTTCATTTTGTTCTTTCTCTTTTGCCACCAGCAGGAGGGAGTAAAGAGAGGATAATGAAAGAGAAACTGTTTCCTTGGAGAGAATGCTGTAAACTATTGTATCTGCTAAGAACTTTAAGATGGTGAGGTGAAATGAGTGAAATTCTCATTTTACCCTTGCGGTCCTCGTGCTCTAATTGCCTAATTTAGGAAGACTGAGGACCTCTTGCAAAGGGAGAACTTGTTCAAGCAATTTTCATAGAGAGGAGGGTGGGAGGAAGAGAGGGGAGGATAGAAGCACTACATTATCACGACCACTATACCGAATCCATTCTCATTCATAAGAAGGCGCATGTTGTGGCAATTCCACCAAATCTGATTAACGGTAGCTTCTTTTTATTTTGGAATGCTCAATTTTTTTGGGAGAGGGTAGAACCCACAACCACTTGTGGGTGGGAGTGAGCTCTTTCCATTGGGCCACTCCCTCATCTCTGGGCAAGTTCTTTGGGGGCTTTAAATTGACGGGTTAGTGTAAGTTTATCTACAGACTGTTGTTCTCATTTTCTCGCTTGACAGTCTTAACCCTTAGCAAGCGGGTATGTATTGTTACCTATGGACAAACCATGTCTTTGTTCATTGTAATTTGTGATGCCTCCTAGAGTTTCACATCTCGTTTAACATTTATGTCTCCTATGTCTTAACTGATTTTTAAAAATTTCACACAGTAACGTCCAGTCAAAGTTTGATAGGCTTGTGGATTTGGATGAAAATCCATCCAGAATGTGTAGAATAGACAATGCCATCATTTCAGGGGGGTCAAGTTAGAGAGGCCTAAGTCTCACTGTGGAGTTCAAAGCATGCTAAGGCCAAAAACCTTCTAGTTAAATGCCTTTATGCCTACCTTGAACTCAGCAGCAAAAACTCTATGACTTATGTATCTAACTGCACTGCAACCACTTCAGCCTAAAATTTTTGGTAAAGCCAAAATAGCCTACTTACCAACTTTTACTTCTCAAGTGAAGTTGCTAACTGTTAGCCCCTTAGCTCATTGGCACGGCTATTGCTTGAGGGTGACTCGCCCAATGGCGTCTCGTGCCTTAGTCAAGGTGGTGATGTACTTGGACAAGCACTCCCGCATTGCAAAGATGGCTCCCTATAGGATCGATGATTTGTGGGATCTGTTGTTGGTGGAATCCCCATGCATGGCTGAGGGAGGCACCACATGCATGGGCACAAGCAAGCAAGGCATAGCCATGTGGGACTTCGATTGAGGTGCATTGCATGCTTGGAAGACCAAGCCCTGGGCTGGGCATGGCTTGACTCGTTGGCAAGGAAAATTGTGCTGACAAGGATGACATGTGCTGGTAAGGATGACATGTGCTGGTCATGTGGGGCAGTTGTGGACAGTCAATGGCTGACTCATGCAGCAGTTATGAAGGCACAACTGCTACAGCCATGCCAGATGCTTCTAATTGGCTAAACAACATTGTAGGGGTGTGACAAAACCACTCCATCCTTGAGGGCGAATCTGACTGGTGCCAACAATCCTAACAGTTGGGGGATGTAATTGTTATGCAGGTTTAAATACAGATGCTAGGGTCGGTAGTATCTAACAATAGAGTTTAACACGTTTTTGTAATAGACCTTTAGCTGGATTCCTTTGTGCTTGTTGAGAAGTAAAATGTTGGGACATTGTCTTATAAACTCATGTGTGCCTGCTGTGTTTGTGTTTGTGTTTGATTCTTGCTCATTACTTGTTTAATATATTATTTATGTGACCCTCTCGTATTCATTTGATTGTGGAATCTCAATGTCATCACTAAGACAAAAAATTTGTATGTAATTTGATCCTAGCGACACCAACCCACAACCATCAGATATTTTCGAGAACTCTTATTTTGACGATGGTGAGTGTGCCACCTCACTTCAGAAGTCAAATTTCATAAAAGTATTTGGTCAGCAACTCAACATAACTTTGATAACATGTTTAAACACAACTCTATTTATCGGTAACTGTGTTCTTTTTTGAACATCATTTCTTCCTCCTAACACCTCAACTAAAAATGTTAAGAGGAGTGAATTTATTTCAAACTTTAACCTTTGGCATTATTGCACAAAAAATTTATAATTACATTCAAACCCAAAATAGTTGTGACAATGTGCTTGAGATAAAATTTAACACCAGCTAAGACAATTATTCTCTCCCTTTTTAATCCCGGGTTACTAAAAAAAAAAGATGACTAATATACGAAACTTCTATCATTGCGGACTCAAGAGAGGATCAATTGAACTAACTTTACCTCCCAAGTGTAGGGCCACTACTAAGGACGATAGTGGACTGAAGCGAAGGCAGGGAGTATAGTCTCCATCTCCGTACCTGCTTAAAAAAATTCCTTTCATCTTTGGTCTATCACCATTAACAGATATTGTTTTCATCTCATCCCCATTCGGGTAAATTTGAAATCCCCTCCCCCGCCTTCACCTCCGCCCCCACCCTCGTCTACTTTTCTCGTCCGAGCCCAAGCCTAAGCTCAAACCGATATAATCCAAAATTCTAAATAAATTTAATATTCTAAATAATTCAACATAATTATAGAATATCATAATATAATTAAAAGTTTGTCATTTACAATATAATATAATTAAAACTTTGTCTACAACATAATCCAACATAATATAATTAAAAGTTTGTCTCTTTATAAATCCAACACAATATCATGTAACACATTTAATGTAACATAACATAATCCAACATTAAAAAAATATAAAAACACAAAAATCTACAATTTTACAAGCTAAAACCATGAAAAAAAATTAAAAAACAAAACAATCTTCAAAAGAAAAAATCAGTCAATAATATGTAGATTTGTATTCACATCAACACGTATATTTGTGTGTATATATATATATATATATATATACATATATAAATACAATAATAATAATAACAACGGATAAAGCGGAGTGGGGCAGGGTAGGGCGGGGTGGGGTAAGCGTCAGTCCATCCCTGCCTTCATCCCTGCACGGGTTTATATGTATATTTCTGTATATACGTCCATCATTCAATACATATGATTTGTCCCAACCTAAATGAAACGTATTTAGACGAATACCCATTTTTACCACGTGCACTATCATCCCTGGCCACTACGGTAAAACACAACTCAACGTATGTGAAAATCAGATAAGATGAGATAGCACAGGTAGAGACCCAAGTGAATGTAAAACCCACTTACATTTGTGACAGAAGAGCCTGGCATTGGGCACTTCAAAGGGCGATCTTCATCCAGTGGCTCAAGGGGGTGTTCAATTGGCCAGAACTCAATGTCACTTTCGAACTCATTTAGACGGACATCCATACCACCCGTCTGTCTTCTCTCCCCGGTTTCATCTATCGATGGAATTATGCTTTCGTTCTTATCCTATAATTCAAAAACAAACCAAAGTTACACGAGCAAGCTTAAAAAATTTCTAACCAAAGCTATTATGTATATATGTATTTAGACACATATTTGTGTACATGGTGTAAAGAGAGGGAGAGAGTGGGTGGGGGAGAGAGAGGGAGAGAAGACAAGGTGTCTTACACAATTCTCCCCACATGAAAAACCCATGTAGAGAAATGACATTAGATTATGCAAGAAAATGACCAAGCAATGAAAGACAAATGTATCGAATAAACACACTCACATACACACAGACAGGGAGGGAGAGAGAGCGAAAGAGAGAGAGAGCATGTGAAAAAGGGTATTACCAGAGAGAGAGAGAGAGGTGGCATGGTGGGATCCCTGAACAGTGAAAGATAAGAAAAGATTCTCCCCATTTCTCCACCTAGTTAACCTTTTTGTTCCTTTATTGGGTCCCTATCTCTCTCTTTTGGTGTCTATGTCGAGAGGGATCGAGAGAGAGAGGGAGCTTTTTCACTTTTTTTGCTTTAAGAACAGTACCAGTTTGTTTGAAAAATATACCACTCTATCACTTTTCATCTTTCTCGGTTTTGCAGAAGTTGGCAAGTTGCTTAACAGGGACAAACATGCGTGCTGTTACAAATTCTACAATGCATGCTGGCACAGAGAGAGAGAGAAAGAGAGAGAGAGAGCACTGATAAAAAAGTGAGCAGCTGGCTGTGTGGCTGTGCCACCCAAGAAAGCGACGATACTAGCGGAAAGCGCGAGACTGAAGCCCGTCTTTAGCCTTCTTTACTCGGCTGCATTTGGTTTCTCAAAGGAGGGATGATATGGAGATTTAATTTATTGATATCATGTATTATGATCTTTGGATAGATTCTATCAAATATTAAAATTGAGTATTAATAAAATGACTCTAATAAAATTATATCATTAGTCCAACAAATTAGGTCATTTTTAAATTTACATATCATTACTCTTCTCGAAGAGATATGTACATTGGCGGAGATTATCAGCTTGAGATCATTGATTTCACATTGTGTATGAATAAACAATGCTAATTAAACCCAATAAT